AAAATAGAATGATTATTTCTAAAGATTAAAGTAAATAAATAAATCTCTTGAAACAACACTAAGAACAAGAAAGACTTTGATAAGAGTAAAAAAAGCTTTATTCTTGCCTCTACAAATACTATCTAACTAAAAGCTATATGGAGACATTCTATAAGACCTCCAACATGTATCAAACTTTGCAAGACATGTGTCTAACTTGTAAGATAAGTTTCTTATATATATATCATTTAGTTAGCTAATACCACAAGCTATCAACACGTGCAACATGTGGCTAATTTGTTAGCCAAATTTCTAACCTACCAAGCAACTATAAACATATATAAAATCAAATTAGTATTTATAAATTTTGTTGACATATTAATGTAGAATTAGTTTTGAAGAACTTGGTTGCAAAATTTTCCAACTAATGTATATTATGAAATGCTTAAAAAGCTAAGATCTTGATATTGATAAATTAATATTTTTTAAAATCCATGTCAAAAATCTATAATAATGGCACAAATTCAGCTAATCTATTTTGTAGAATTCAAAACATTTCAAATAAATTTCTTTTCAATGTTTTTAGATGCAATATTTTTTTAATATTATATAATTTATTAGATTTATAATAGCTCTTATGGTAGTTAAAAATAAATTAAAATATAAATAGAATCTCTATTTTTTTATGCAATTAAAAAAATACAAAAAAATTATAAAAATAAAAATATATAAAGTTAAAATTTAAAAATTCTTAGATTTAATATTAATTATGTAATATTTTGCTATAAATTCTTAATACTAAGTAGGTGCTTATAAATGGTTAGCTTTGTCAAATATTATAGCAATATATTTAATTTATATAAGTAAAATTTAATATTTTTTTATATTTATATTATAAATTTTAATTCCTATAAATTTATTTTTATTTTTTTAAGGAATTTTTTTATTATATAATTATTATATCCAAAAATATATTTATATTTGTATATATATATATAAAATCATAATAAAATATTTCTATTGTAGATTATAAAAACTTATTTTAAATAATGGTAATTTTAAAATAATTAATGAGATGAATATAAATAATATGCATTGTAGATTAATATGATTTAGATTTATCAAAATAAATCACATTACTTTAAATTACTTAAATAATTATAGCTTTTTATATATATATATATATATATATATATATATATATATAGAAGTATATGAATGATACTTCATTATTGTTTCATGTAAATATAAAATATGTGAGTAAAAAATGATATTACTTAAAAATATTACCACATTATATTCTAAAATATATAGATGTTCACATTGGATAGAATAATATTCACATACTTACATTCACCATTGTCTAATATGTTTATTGTTCATATATTTATTATTGCTACATAATATTATTGAATCAATCCTCTAAATATAATATTTTAGATTATAAGATTTGTGTTTAAAACATTCTATGGGTCACTAAGAAGAAAAATCAAAGCATCCTCTTGGTTATAGATGCATGTAATGGCAAAATGAAGATAATTGAAAAAAACACCATTGTATCTGATTTAAGAATATATTGATTGATTTTATGATCTTAACAATGATTGAAGGTTTGAAGTGCCAAAATGAGTCAAATTACCAAAATAGTCAAGAATAACAATGAGATGATCTATCACATATTTATTATTTTCAATTATGTAGTTATAGCCAAAAAAAAAGTAGTTTATTGAGAAAAAATTAAAGCTAAAATATATTCATTGAATTTATCTACCAACATAATTTTTGGACTCAAAAGGTACATTTTCAATAATTTTTAAATTAAGCAAAAATATTAGTTGGATAAAAATTAGTAATGAAAATATTGATGTCTCAAGTTATAGAAAACTCACTTAAATTAGTCTTTTATAATGACCATTGCTTACCAATGGTACCAACAAAAACTACAATTTTTTTGGACTACTAGCATTTTGCATAGATGGTATAAAAATATGGAAGGTGAACCACTTCTATAAGAAGAGATCTCTTGATGAATTCAACAATAGTTGTTGTATTCTTATGTATTTAAAGATTGGAGTAATTAGCCAAAAGTTATGAAGTTCTACAAATTTCTTTCTACTCAAAAAAAAAATATCCACTCTACAAAATTGACAAAGTAATATATCAATGCATTGTAATGTTGCAAAATTTGTCATAGAAATGTTTTTTTACACAATGAAGTAAGCACACTCTAGAAGATTTGCTTGACTCGAGTACATAGAAATAGTTAATAAAATATTTGTATTTCCTTTCTTAATTAGAATACAAAAGAAAGATTGTGATATTTTTTTATCTTCATAAAGAAGTGTTGCAAGAGCAATCAACCTGCATTCCATAACAATTTTGCATTAAAATCAACTAATATTAGATACATTATTTATTAAAAATGTTTTACGTCAACCTGCTTTTCTATCTACAAATAGACAATGTACAAGTGGGGCTATAGAATTGTGAAAGATTTTTCTACTTCAATAAATTTGTGAAGAACAAATTACTCAATGTTTATTGTTGAGTGTATGGTTGCTGCTATGAGAAAGTAGACATGAATTACATTAGTCATTGCAAGCATTTAATTGTTTTCTTGCACAAACGATCCAATTCGACATACATCTTCTTAGTAAGTTTTATATATAGTTTTTAGTTTAATCCAACTTCAAGTGAGACAATGAAAAAGAAGAGTGTGCAAGTAGAATACTTTACTCCAATTAGAAGCAATCAAAGAAAGTACAATAATCTTTATTTTTCTAATCCAAAAACAATATATTTTTTCTTAGAATGCATGGTTTTTAATGAATATTTGGTCTTACAACTTATGATTTGGAATTTTTTGGTCAATTTTTTATAGATATTAAATAAGTTTTTTTTAGCATATATTATAAGTAACATCATTATAAGTAAGAATAAATAGCTATAAGAAATATAAATCAAGTAAAGTAGTTGAGATGGTATTTTCTCATATTAATCAAATTGAAAATGTTAATATATTCTAAGTTAATAAGAAAACATGTCAAAAATGGAGCTTTGTTGGTAATATAATAGCAAAAAATATGCCATTTTACTTTTCGTATGAGAAGGTCTTTGGCTTGCATAAAATCTCAAATTATATTTCATAAAGGTATATTGCAAATCCATAGTTTAATGGAAGAAAATGTTTTCTATTAATTTAAAATACATGTGTAAATTGATTGTAACTAGAAACTTGTTATGATTTTAGAATATTATTTGAGATAGAAAATTAGGCTATTTTCGGAATTTTTAACATATATTTGTAAAGATACATGAATAAATAAACATTCAATGTGATTCTAATATTAACATAAAACTTTATTTGCAAATGCAAAAAAATATTATATATAACAAATCTAAGTATCTTTTGCAATTTGGCAACGTTACTATATATAATTATGATGGTTAGTATACATTTTTAATATAATTAGTTTGAAAAATCTATAGATGCATTGGTTGTCTTAAAGATAGCAAAAAGAATATGTAGAGTGATACACTATGACTTTAAAAACAACATTTGGAAAAGGACTAGGTTCAGAAAGAAGTTTTTTTAGAGACAACTAAATTAATTTAATTAATAAGAAATTTAAGTAAAATATGCATTACAAAATAAACATAAAAAGGACCATGTTGTAAATCTCAATAACATCTATCATTTAAGCTATAGCATGAAAGTATTATTACAAAAAAAATTGATGAGACATGCTTAGAATGCTCAAATGACAACAAGAGCATTGGTTGCTCTTCATCCTTGCTATAGTTTATTTGTGATCTCTAGCCATTGAAGATTGATTATTATCTTAACAAATAAATCCATGTTTTTTAATTGTGCAAGCAAATAAAAGAGTATCAACAACTTCAATAAAGTGCCATTATTGAGATTTCAAAAAAGATATTAGAAGATGGATGTCATCTATATGGATTGTTTGATTGGCAATATCTTTGTATCCAAAACCTTGTTTTGATATTTGCAATAAATTATTAAGATGTCTTCTTTATTAGATTTAGTATAGTAGACAAGATAAGAAATTAAGTGGTTCTTCTTTTACTTGTTTTAGGACTTTTTAGTCTTCTTGTCTTTAATAGTAGCTATTATAGTTTGATATTATATCATTGTTTAGTGATTATCTAGTCTTTTTGAATGACACAAGAATATCTTGATCTTTCAATTCTTCAAGATTTATGTCTTTGATAATATATATTAATAGAAATATGTGCCGTTGGGCACTAAAAAGTTATATAATGATCTATTATACAAATAGTATACTCCAAGTCTTTCTATATATTATGCATAGTTTTTTCTTGGGGAACTTTTTTTAAAAATTTTGGCCAATAAAAAGGCTTCTTTGTTTTATATCTAAACTTTCTTATGATATAGATATATATTAAAATATTAAATTTTTAGTTATATATCTATTTTATTTAAAGTTTGAATTATTTGTAATATATATATATATATATATATATATATATATTTTTAATAGCCATGTAGAATGAATATGAAAAATTTATCACACAAAATCAATGTAAATATATTAATATTTTTAAATATTATATTTTATATAATATTTTAAAAATTATTATACAACAAATTGATATTTATTCATTTGACATTAAAAGCAACATGCATCACATACAAATTCATAGTTCATTATAAATCTAGTATACACAAATATTAATTGAATACAACTTTTAACATTTTGATGTAGTTGTTGTCATTAAAACAATAAACAATTAAACATAATACTCTTTTGTAATAATCAATTACAATCAACTTCAATCATTGAATATAAACATAGTTTTTTTGAACTGAGTACATAATTTGCTTTTATTAATTCCTTTTATATTCTATTTAAGCTTTATATAAAATAAAGACCATCTATCTTTTTTTTATATATATAAATATATTATTATAGTTATTATTTATCTTACATAAAGCTCCTTTTCTTTCTCTACCTTCCGTGGATGATCATGGGACTAGCAAGTCAACCTTGAACGAAATCCCATGCATGAGGGCACAATGGAGCAAGAGATTGTCGACAGCAATTAGGGCTTGCGGGGGGTCATGTAGTCAACAACGAGGGAAGGAGAGAGATTAGGGTTTCGAAGCTTTAGCGCCTCCGCTTGCACACAGTGGGTCCTTTCTCGCTGTGCTCTCTCGCTCTCTCTCTCGCTCGGTGTCGTCGACACTACGAGCACCGCCTGAATTCTTCCCCCCACGCTGGCGCCATAGCCTGTCGCCATGGCGCAATATGACCTCACCGCCCGTGTGGCGCCATTCCTGGACCGGCACCTCGTTTTCCCGTTGCTGGAGTTTCTGCAGGACAAGCAACTTTACAGCGACGACCAAATCTTGAAATCGAAAATTGAGCTGCTGGCCAAGACCAACATGGTCGACTACGCCATGGACATCCACAAGTCTCTCTACCACACAGAGGACGTTCCTCAGGGTCAGTACGGGGCGTTGTTTTTTTCTTTGAAGTGGCCGTGAGGTGAAACATTGAGAGTGGTTTTGTGGGTTTGTTCGAGTTGTGCGGTGAAGGAGGGGAATTATGGTAGAAGTTGGTTCGTAAACTATGGGATCTTTCAGTCGGAATTTTTCATTTTTTTCGATTCAGATTTGAGCACCTTGCCTAATGAATTCGTTTGGGTTGGGGTCGCAATCGATTAGGTTTCGGATTTTTTTCGTGGGTTTTTATTATTACCAGTGTTTGATTAGTTGTCGCTTGTTTGAATTGGACTGAAATGCGCTCTTGCAGTCTTAAATGATATCCGGCGTCGCCGTCTCACAGGATTGAATTTTTAGGCACAAACTGCAAATTTTTGCAGAATTGCTGGTTTGTGGCAGTTCGTGAGGTGCTTGTTCATGGATTTCGGGTGGCTACATCATGCATCCATGATGGTTTAGTACTGATACACGGTTTTGGAAGTGGTTTAGATATGGTGGACAGAAGGGCAGAGGTAGTTGGTCGGCTTAAGGTTCTGGAGGAATCAGCAGCGCCTCTCATCAGCTTCTTACAGAACCCAGCTCTTGTTCAAGAGCTACGGTCTGATAAGCAGTACAACCTCCAAATGTTGCAAGAACGGTACCAGGTTAGCTATTTTTCAAGGAAGTTATTATCCTTAAGTGGCAATCCAGTCGCTTCAAATAGCTTTCAGTCAGGTCGTGTCGATACCAGGAGTACTTATGCAGAAAACTTGACTTTGTACACTAGTGATTTTGTTAGGATGTCTTCCACTAAATCTAGTGTGCTGCATCTCATTGTAATATGTAGCATATCGCATTTCAACGTCTTGCTACCTCCGTGTGGATGCCACATTATAAGTCTGACAGTTTCGTCTAAATTGTGATTGTTTGTAGATCGGTTCTGAGCAAATCGAGGCTCTGTATCAGTATGCCAAGTTCCAGTTTGAGTGCGGAAACTACTCGGGTGCATCCGACTACCTGTATGAGTATCGCGCACTTTGTACCAATAGCGAACGCAGCATTAGTGCTCTCTGGGGCAAGCTTGCATGTGAGGTATTGATGCAAAACTGGGACACAGCGACGGATGAGTTGAACCGGTTGAAGGAGTTTATCGATTCTAAGGTATACCTTAACTGTACGACTGACACACCTGAGAATACAACGTATTAGTTTTGAAGTTTCGTGTTCAACATGGAATGTGCTCATCGTTGCAAGTTAAAGCTCTTTTTTATATTTGAGTGTTCGAGCTCATTTCACTGAACCATACATGTTGCAGAATTTTGCTTCTCCCCTTAACCAGTTGCAACAAAGGACCTGGTTAATGCACTGGAGTCTTTTTATCTTCTTCAACCATGACAATGGAAGGAATGGCATTATTGATTTGTTCTTTTCTGAAAGGTACAGCGTGTTGTTTTGTGGGATCTTGGCTTTACATTAGGTTGTCCTTGCTAAAGTACCGTTTTTGCTTCTTGTTTACATTATTACCAAGTGAGTACCATATCTACTCATTTCGTAGATGCCAATATGTCATTGTGAGGAAGTTGTGCTATTCCTATGGATTTCCAGAGGTCGACATTGCCGGAGTGATTGTAGCACGCTGCTGTCCCTGACATGGTTGACATTTTGGCAACATGTAGTGGATGTGCCCAGTCTAAAACACGCCGGCTGACTAGGCTGACTGCTCATTGTGGAAGTAGTGATTACTCAGTAAAAGTTTGTCTTCATGCCATCGCTTGCCTCGTACTAAGTTTCGATTTTCTTCGCAGATATTTGAACGCTATCCAGACAAACGCACACCATTTGTTACGGTACTTGGCTACAGCTGTAATTGTGAACAAAAGGAGGAGGAACATGATCAAGGAGTTGATAAAGGTTATTCAACAGGAGCGTTACTCTTATAGCGACCCCGTGACGGAATTTTTGGAATGCTTGTATGTAAATTATGATTTCGAAGGAGCACAGCGAAAGCTTCGTGAATGTGAAGAGGTACGACTCGGAGAACTCGTCATTTTGGTCTCTAGTGCAAACTGTATCTACATTTTTTTCGAATGAGGTTATTGTACTGGTTTTTCTTAGTATGTCAATTGTATTTCCAGGAGATTTTGGATGCTGTGTGCATGAAAGCGTGTTTCTTATCTTAACGTGCTCTTTGTGTTGGGAGGCCTAATTTATGGAATATTGCTTCCTGCGCAGCTGATTGTGAGCGACTTTTTCTTGGGCAAGCAAACATCGGAGAACGGCTTTGTGCCGATTCCATTGCTAGATGAGTTTATGGAAAATGCTCGGCTTTTTATTTTTGAGACGTACTGTCGCATTCACCAGTGTATTGACATTTGCATGCTCTCGCAAAAGTTGAACATGAACTATGATGATGCTGAAAGATGGATTGTGAATCTTATCCGCAATGCGCGGTTGGACGCCAAGATCGATTCAAAGATGGGCACTGTTGTTATGGGCACACAATATCCAAATATGTATGTGGATTCTTCCCGGTTTAGATTATTGTATTCGTTCTAAAGTTTCTATTAGAAGATATGTTGGTTCATCCTCTGTAGGAATCATTCAAGATCTGTACAATTGGTTTAATGGTATTTTTAGGAATTTTCGTTTTGAATTTACATCGTCACTATACACGACTGCTTTTAGTTAATTACAAGGTACCTGTATGTTAACTATAGCATTGACGTGAAAAAAGACACGATCTCACTATGTCCTCCTTGGTCTATCAGATATGAACAAATTATCGAGAAGACGAAGGTTCTTAGCCAGCGAAGTTACGCTCTCACTACTAATGTAGTCATGACATCTGCCGCCGTCACTGCATCAGCCGCTCGGTAGCTATACCGGCTGTTGTGGTAAGGAGTTGGTTCATGGTTTTGGTACATTGTCATCCACGTTGAATGTCACATTAGATGCGAGTCTTTTCAGTATGTCAAACTTGACCATACTTGCCGCGATAATATTATTTCTTTGCACAAATAGGATAGCCTTCAGGCAAGGAGGCACTTGCCCCCATGTGAATTCCAGCATAAGGCATTTGGTTGCCATGTGCATTGAAATTAACTCACTTGAGTACTTCATTCATACTATGTTACATTTTGTTTGCAGATTTTTGGCAGACCAGATAGTGTGCTTTTCGGATTTTGATCGGTAGTTGCTTTCATTGCTGTTTGTTTTGTAGAGATAATTGCGTGAGAGCTCCCTAGTAAAATTACTTTGTTCAATTATGAGGATCTTGCCCTCGGACATGCACCCTTGTTTTAGACATGTCAAATGTTTTCCGTCAATTTGCATGCTGATTTCTCTGCTTCTTAGACATTCTTAGAATAGGTATGAGATTAGTATTTTGTTCGCTTCAGCTTATCACTTTTTGTCGGAGAGCATTGGCATCCAGTAGACCGGAGCAGAACACATGACATTGCACAGAAATGGGTCTTGTAGTTTTACCCTTTTGAATATGTAGTGTCAAAGTCACAAATGCAAAGAACTTATCACTGTTGTCTTTTGAACAACAGTACCGGAGAACCACCTGAGGGACAATGTGCTAGTTGTCCAGGACATCCCCAGACGTCCGCCAGGGACAGCAGCAGGCCTGCCTCAGATGATATGTATTTATTGTGTATAATCAAAATTATTAATGTATATTTATTTCCTCCCTTCACTTTCCACAGGGCTGCTGCAATCCTACCGCCCAACTTAACCTAAGGTTCCACGATTGCAGTGCTAGCTACTCGATGTCCCCACAAATGGGTAGACATCTCGGTCGTTCATCCAGGAGGCACGTTCCTTGCAAGAGAATCACATTCAAAACCTATTGACTCTATTTGTTTGGGCAGCATAAACATCTTGAAGTCCCATCATCACTAAATATTCCTTGTTTTGACCGGTAGTTTCATCCAATTGAGTAGTCTAAATGTCACAAAGTCCCACTACTGTGCTTTTTTTCTTTTTTATGTGGGAGTGATCTAATTTGCATTGAGAATTTGCGCTTCTCTCCTTGATGTGGACAATGTCATGTGCAAGTCCTATGCTCTTGACTCTGAGGAGATCTGGAGTCCAATACGTATCTTGCAGCAAGAGTTGTGCTGTGTAAAATGGTTGAGACGAAATATCCCTTAAGCTTTTGTATAAGTTAACATGTCAATGGATGTCAATTTTGGGTGTTCAATAACTTTTGATTTTACTCCTTTGTTGTTTGCTATTTGCCTTGCTACTCTATGAGTCCATAAGTAATAAGCCATGGTGAAGATATTTTTTGTTAAAATGAACGAGGATCAATGTGGTCACAATTTATGCAAAAAGAAGAAAAATCTATGACATCTTTATGTTGCAACAAAGTCATGTACTACAAGCACCTTATTCTCTAGATCATTCTTTTTTTTCTTTTTCTTTTTTCTTTTTGTTTTTCAAGATTCAAACCATATAGATAAAAATAAAGCTTTGCCCTTGCTCAAATGTCACCCCATTAGTGATGATCCATTACATGACATTCATCAACATCACAACCATTACAAACTTGCATTATATTTGCTAAATGTTCTAATAAAGACATGAAGGGATGGATAATTAAACCATACTTCTATTTTTAAATGATGATTGAGGAATGTTGAATAATATTAAATTATTTTTGATAGAATAGCCAATGGCGACTTAATTGTACACATTTGATAATGCTCATCAAAAAAGTTTGTTTGTTTTTTTCTTTTCTTTTCTTTTCTTTTCTTATCAATATTTTGAATACTAATATTAGATGATGGCAAATAGTGAGAATCATTCAAAGAATTTAAATTTTGTTGTTACAAAAAATGAATTGAGTGTACTACTTGAACATTTTTAGCAAAATTCACTCACTGCAAAGAAGGAAAGATGAAATTTTCCAAATCTTCTCATTGAGATTATGAACATAAAAAAGCGGTTATCTAAAACCAAAAGATTAAAAATTGGCTATGAAAGAATTGTTGTTTACTTTACATTTCTTGTAGAAATTAATGTAAATATTACAGATTTTTAATGTAGTTTATTATGATGTCATTATAATAGAAAAAAGAAAACAGTATCTATTTAAAAATGTTAAAAAGTCTTATATCCCATCACATGTAGATGCATGTAAGATGAAAAAATTGAACTGCGCATGTATCAAAGTTTACAAAATAAAATCTCACCTAAAACACCAATAAATAAATAAATAAATAAAATACTAAAACACATTGAATAAACCCACATCCAATTGCATCTTGCAATTGGGACACAAATGATTTAAATCGAAAAACAATAAAATAATAAAACACACATATAGTAATATTATTATTTTTATGGTGGTTAGAGCCATTCTTACAACCACTTAACTAATTCAGGATCTGAGTGATAATATATATATATATATATATATATTATATATACTTAAGTTTTAAAATTATAACAATATTACACATTTATCTTCTAGTACAAATCACATGAGAAGTAGTTTTGAAATGTTATTTGAAGTTTAAATTAGAGATTTTGTACATATTTATAAACATTGTATTTTCTTTGTAACATGACAACCATATAAAGTTAATTTGTTTCATTATTTATTCTGCTTCCTCTTTGTTTCATGAAATTATTTTTCTTTATGATATATATATATATATATATATATATATATATATATATATGTATGTAACATATTTTAAAACAACAAGAATAATATAGTCATAATTTTTTTTTTTATTATTATTATTTAAAAACCAAAAGAACATCTATGTTGTCATTCATCTATGACCACAATCTTTTGAAAAAGTACAAAAAAGTAAACAATAATAATAATTGCAATTCTATATTGCAAATTTCACAGCTTTATAGTCCAAGTAATTTTGATAATACATTGTACCATATGCACCTATAAAAATTTGACATTTGAATTGATTTGAACATAAACATTAAGCTTTAAAATATTATAACATATTATTCTATCTCATTTAAGTCATAGTCCATTATTAAAACTTGTACCAAATTGCATGCAAATATAAAAAATCAATGTCAGCATTCATGATATTGGTGTTGGTTACAAGAGAGAGGATTTCAACAGACCAAATATATATATATATATATTTAGATTAGTTACAAATTAATAACAACTACACACAATATTGTAATGTGGATACAAAACAAAAAATCAATTCTATGTATGTTAATTTTATATCAAGTAAATTAAAACAAAAAAAAAAACTATATAATTAGATGAGATAATATATTACACATACTATAATATGTAATTACAGGTTGGTAAAATGTTGAGATCAGTGACCCAATTTCAATTAACCTGAGGTCGATTCCAAATAACCAGGGGTATATTCAAACCAACCACAGGCACATTCCAACTAACCAGAGGCACATTCCAACTAACTAGAGGCACATTCCAACTAACCAGGATTCTTATTTTCAAATCAACCGTAGGTCGATTCCATCAACCCACAGGTTGATTCCAAGTAAGCAGGGGGTAGATTTCATTCAACCACAGATGGATTCCGACCAACGTGGGGAGGGTCTCGGAGCAAACTTCCATTAACCCAAAGTCGATTTTAGTCAACCCCAACTCTGTGTCTACCGCAGTCGGCTATGGCGGACGGTAGCGATGAGAAGCCCGCACTCGAGGCGTGCATCGAAATTCGGAAAACAGGGGGCAATGGCTGGATTGGATAAGAATCGCAGCAGTACACAGTGAATGGCTGGCGATGAAACCACGGCGCTGCCGTGGCTGCCTATGCCAGCGCGGAGCTCACCACAGGGTTGAATTGGCGACTGCAACCGTGGCGAAGTTCGGAGGACATCACGGCCGTGTCTTGTAACGATCCCAATTTGTGTTTGTGTCATTGCCGCTTCGATTTTTCGTTAGATCCGCAGCTTGAAAGAGATCGCCAATTGCAATGGCAGTGACGGCGATGGCGAGCCTTGCGTCGTCCTGCTCGGTGTTTCTCGAGGGCGAGGCTCTGCGTGTGCGGGGATCGGTCTCGGATAATTCCCTGCGTCGCGGCAACGGAATTGTGAGATGCGTGCAGGCCAAGAGCGAAAGTGAGAAGCCCACGGTATTTTCCAGGAGGCAGGCTGCGTGCGCTTTGGTTGCGGGGGCTCTCGTTCTACCGGTTGCCCCGATGGCCCGTGCATTACTTGAAGCTGACGACGACGATTCTCTTCTTGAGAAGGTGAAGGAGGATAAGAAGAAGCGCATCCAGAAGAGGTCGACGGCAATCAACGAGTTCGTGAAGGAAAGCGGTATTGAACTCATCCTCCTTGTGTGAATGTTGTAGTAGAGGATTGCATTTTAAAAATTGGCCACAGCTCTGTGCGCGAACGACGACAAAATGGCAGAAGGATGTTTAGTCCTTCAATTGTGCTATGTCGGTACTCTTTTAGTTCGCAATGAGCTGCCCTGCAGAGATTGACGGATGAACCTCATGTTCCAGAAATTATTCAATCGTAGGATCTGTCAATGGCTTGTCTGTTTGAGGTATTGTTCACGAAGATGTAGTGTTTCCAAGGGCATGTGAAGGAAAATCTTTGAACCTGATCTGGATAATTTAGGAGAACCTTGGCTTTTAACTTTGACAGGGACTTGATACATGATTTTCCCTTAGCAAGGTATCTCCTGCGGGCTCAGGTCATGAATAGTAGAAAAATCTATTCAATAATCAGCCGGGGCGGCACAGTTACCCTGGATTCCTCTCCCTTGATGAGTCATGGGATGTCTGCAGCATGTATTGCATCCATCCTTTTTCGTATTTCTCGCAGATACTTGCAGTAGGACGGGTTTGACATGTTCCATTACGAGAGAATTCCAGTCAATTGGAGTTATTACATCCTGTTGGAGTAGTTACATTTGTATATCGTGGAATTGTAGAGGATAATTGGTGTAGCGGACACTTTGCATTGTTTGTGTTGTGCCGGAGTGTGTGTTTGATCTTTCTACTTTGTTTTCAGGCGGAAGAAAATTCAGTAGGTGACGACAGTGTGTTTACAATGCACATCACACAATGCCTAGATAACCATTTCCTACTTCAGAAGCATGCTTGTGTACGATTTAATGCAGTGACCTGGGTTGATCCGAAATTTTTCCTCTTTCGGGAATTCTGTTAATGCGTTTCGGTTAGAATGGGATAGAATTAAAAGGATGTCCAAAGTTAACTGTTACTTGAGTCAAGTTATGATCTTTACACCCTGCCCATGCGATTTTCTTGTAAGGTTTGAACTAGTCGTTTGATTGGTTGAGTCCGAATTCTTGTAAATAAAATATTTTCAGCAGTTTTCTTTGGGTTCGTGGTTGTTGGTGCAATAGGGAAGTTCAGAGTTCCGTAATATCGGCGCTGGTCATCCTTGTATAAATATGTATGAATTCTGTGTAGGATATCTGGCGACTAACTTGGTTTAACGCATGTATCAAGGTTTCTGAGAAACTTTTATGAACAGCTGACGAGCTCTAAACAAGAAGACAAGAATTTCCTTGTGTTGACCGTCTGGGTTTCAGTATCACGAACTTGTGGGTAATAACATCAAGTTTCTCTTTTGATCAGAGTATGTGCAGACTGCCGTGTACAAGTTGAGTGAAACAGGGCAAGCCATTGATGCAGGAGATTACAGCAAAGCAACCGCGGTCTTTGCACAACAAAACGGCGATTGGGTCCGTAACATTCAGGCGGCGATAGACAAGGTCTTTCATTTCTCCTAATTCTTCCTCCAATACAATGCTCTGCTTGTTTCCAGTATTTCTAACTGCCAAAGACATAGGATAATTCAATGACGTGTGTTTTTATTACAGGTGAGTTCTAATTCGAGTGAGGAGGCTGCGGCTAGCACTTTCCGTTCTTCCTTAGCTTCGCTTGAAGCAGCAGGTAACTTGTAATTGCCTGTAAAATATCTTTATACTCACTTTAAGCCGCAGAATAGTTTGTTTAGCGAATGCGTGTGTATCTACTTGGCTTATTTTAGTTTTCTTTTGCGTTCAACTGTAAACATTATGTTAAACAATTGCTTTTGTCGCACTCTTTACATCAGTGAAGTCGGGCGATTTTAAGTCGTCAAGAGTTGCGTTCATCGCCTCAGCAGAGGCATTGGATAAGTGGGCAAGACTTACCGGATTGGCAGAGAAAGTGGTGGGATTGTAAATAACAGCGCCAGGTCGCATGCAATGTCTGGTAACTCTGCTCATGTGCTTGAACTCTGGTCTGTTAGCATTGGTGATCCAAAACCATCTAAGGTTTAGTAGATTTCAATCCAATTTTTTCTGGCGTAGACATTGTCGCGTTAAACGTCCAAAATCAGCAGCTTTTTGCTTGTGGGAGACGGTGCGCTAGAGCTTTTTGTAGAGTGTTCTTTTCGCCTATCTTATCCGCTAGATAGAGAAGTAATCAATCTTCTCTGCTGAAGGTCATTTGAACCAACATGTACCATTTCCAAATGACAGGGCGATTTCACATCATTCATTTAGTTGAGTAAATGCCTGTAATGCGGTGCAGCTCATCAAAATTATCACACAATCACAAACCATACTTCTTTTTCAAGGAATTACAACGTTCATTTTGAAATTCATAAGCATCACCAAGGCATTGCATACTGGTGATCGACTCTTCGATGGAATTTAACAAGATGCATGAGGTGCAGTATGCAAGCCATGGCTGCTTCTGCAAGTGCCGCCTGTGCGGTATCAGCCTCTGTCGAGCCATGCCTACTCGAAACAGCAGTTGTGCCCATTCGACTAGGCTTCCATCGCCGAGGTCTCCCAAGTTCAGCTCTTGTTTCGGCGAAGTAATGGTGATTTTGTACACGAGCATTACTTGGGTACTCACACCCCTATTCCTAAATCAATGCACCCTCAATCAATTGATGTGCACTTGTCCACAGCACAATGTTTCGATACGTTAAAAAAGAACGAAAAGAAGAAATAAAAGCCGATAGCATGAATACACATAGAACACAACAAATTAGCCCACTGTATTATTGCACATCATTCCTCTCAACTGTCAAAGCAAATGCGTTATTTTTTTTCTTCTACTCCCAAATTGCATCTTGAAGCATAAAACAGTACAAAATTATTTACTTTTGTTGATAGATTGAAGTTAGATGCCTGAAAGCCATTTCCGAGAACCAAATCGAGCAGTCTCATGGTTCGAAAGGCGATGAGGCCGTGTATTCGGGAGCCACGAAGCGCAGCGGAGATAGGGTGGGACCCAAGAGGCGAAAGGACCGAGAATCGGATTGGACACCATCCAAACGGAACCAACCGGGCGCTGGATGTCCCCTAGTGCGCCATTCAACCGCGCCCTCAGCAACAACAGCAGCATGTGTTCCCATCACGCTCTGCGAGCGTCCGTCGAACGGATCACGCTCGACCACTAGCAGTCCACTGACCATGTGTGTTTTTTTGGGTTCCGGTCACAGCTTTTCTCGTAGAGATGTCGGTTACTTCGCTGCTGCGTTCGTGGGAGCTTAGAGCGTTAAGGCTAGATCAGTATCTCGCGTACGTGCGCTAGCAATCCCTAATTGGAGTTTGTGTTGGCGGCTTTCCGGATTCGTGGCACCTCCATCGACTGTTAGGGAGCTAGGGTTTTGGTTTCGTGATTGAGGGTTGAACATGATTGTTCTGGTCTAGGTTTTAGGGTTACATTGTTGGATGTGTGTAGGGTGGTTAAGTGTGCAGGGCGGAGGCGTTGGCGGATCCGTGTTGTGGGTCGTATGTGAGAGCTTGTTCTGAGCCCAACTTGCGACCAGATTACAATCCTAAGGATTTTTTCGAATTTTTCGGGGTTACATTGGAAGGTGCATTGTTGCAGTCCATTCGAGAGATTCTAGGATTTTGAGTTTTATGTGGAAAGAGGGCGGAGTACTGTAATTGGGATACTGTCCCAACTAGTGTAGACTTCTTTTTGTTGCAGGCGGTTGGAGAGAAAGCTCATTGCAATCAAACGGTTTTCCCGTAAGTTATGTTGCCGAGCAGAGTCAATTCACTTGTTAGTTCATCCTCGATGAGAGAACTTTTGAAAGGGTGAAAAAAGCGACGACCGTGGATGTTGGGAGGCAGGTTTGCCTATGGCCTGTCGGGTTGCCCACAACCCAGTTGTTAAGCTCTGGATGGCTAGCCAATCGATCTGCAAACAAGTTCCTCTGGAGAGATGGGGTGGGCTCAGGGTTTGGAGTCATGTGAGCATCTCTGTCTTTGCTGAAGACGCAGGATGTTGTAGGATACAAATGCCTTTCATTTCGCTTAAACAGCTCCGAAGTTGGTCTCACTGTTCGCCCTTCAAAGATTCCCTCGGGTCAGTCATTTCTCTGAACTCAACCGTCATGCATGGCTGCTTAAATTCGAGCAGCGGAAGTTCTGTCTTCTTGTGCACAACTCTTCATGTGGTTCACTCGTGTGTGACCATGTTATCCTTCACGGGCGCAATAAAGCACTAAGTTTTCGTAGAGAAATCTAGGACATTCATTTTAGATCTTAGGTACCTAGCATTATTTCCCCCCAGTTACATCTTCTGGGGCAAGGTTGTGCTTAGTGCACATCTACAGTGCAAGAGCGGTAGCTTGCTATCATCGTTATTGAGCAGGACGGGAGCTCCTCATTTAGATTTACTATGATATTCAGGAACATTTCACGAATTTCTTGCAAAAAATGACTCGTACTGTATGCAATTGGATCGGGCGTACATCTGCGGGTCGTTCATCTTGCAATATGCTTTCAACGGGGAGTTCTTAATATCCGATTGAATTCTCATGCAGGTTATCAGGTCGGAAAGGGATAGCAAAGGTTTCCCCTCTATGGGTTGCCTATTCAGGACCAATAGTAGCCGCCGAGGTTTTTACAGACCCTAGACGTCTTTTTGGAGGATCTGCCGCGTTAGAAGAAAGGGAGCGACTTCACTTCAAAACTAATGATGAAGATCAGCCCTCCGTCTCGGGTAAGCCATCCCATATAATTTTTTTTGGTTGAAGATGTACCAAAATGTTTGGCTTTGACTATATTTCGGGTGATTATTGGCTTTGTGCTGCAAAAGCACGCATCAAAGTCTTACAGTTCAGATCCTCCATTTCTGAGTTCTGTGCAATGAAGTCTTTTTGCCTTCCTGGATAGGACTAGCTGCAACATACCATCAATCGATGATGAATTTGCAAATTTAGTACGAGTATTTCTCAACAGCCCTCAATTTAAACAAGAACTCATAATTAGGTTGTTATAGTCAAGGTGGCTACTTTTTACATACTTTTGCTTTCAGAAGCGGGTGCGTCGCCTTGGAAGTGTTGCAAGTTTCTTAATGAGAAAGGGAACTTCAATTTGCAGGAGAGGGGGAGCATAAGGATCCCGAGAGTCCGACGGGTGGATCAGATGATCTGGATGTGTCACCATTTCGTCGACACTATGTCAAGGATGTTCTGGCAGTTCTCCGTACAGTAAAAACAAAGCAGGAGATGACTGAAAAGCTTTCTCCATTCGTGGGAAAGCTCTCACCGCGGGACGTAACTGTGGTTTTCAAGTCGATGTATAATAGACAAGTTTCTGTGGAGTTTTACAAATGGGTCAAGTCACAGGATGGATTCGAACCTCATTTCCACTTGTATGTGGCCTTCGCTCACTGTCTAATGAGGGTTCAAAAGTGGGTAGCACTTGAAATTTTAGTTGATGAGATGATAGGAAAGAATTGCCCCCCCGATATTAAATTTTATGCTCTAGTGATCAAGGAAGCTATCAATACTGGTCGGTTTCAAACAGCTCAACACTGGTTTTCAAAAATGAAGTTGCTGGGGTGTCCCCCTGATATTGTTATATACAACATTCTTATCTTAGAGTATGGGAAGAGAGGCAACTTCAGTCAAGCAATGAAGTATTTCAGTCAACTAAAGGACGAAGGTCTTTTACCAGATAGTGGCACATACTGTGCAGTTCTCAGTGCTTGTAGGAAGGTTGGAAATATTGACAAAGGGAATGAAACTCTCAAGGAGATGAGGGAGGCTGGAATTAAGCCTGATCAAGTTGCCTACAGTATTTTGATCGACATGTTTGGTAAGGCTGGCAGACATGAGGATGCTGCAGCCACATTTCGAGAATTGCAGGTAAAGGTCTATGAGAATCTAGTATACTCTTACTCGTTCTTATTTCCGACCTTTATGATGCGGTTATGCGTTATTCTGCCAGTTGCTCAGTCTGGGGGTTTGCAATCAAGAGAAAATTAGGGTCCGTCGTGGCCACTCTTTTAGTTATATGCAACTCAAGCTTAATCGATTTCTTTCCATACTTTAGTCAATGTTCGCAACTTGCTTTCCTTTTTGTTTTGCCGTTTTTCCAATTTTATTTGCTTTTCTCAGGTGGTTAATGCAGTTCATGAAGACCACCTTCAGTTTTATCCAGATCTGTTCCTGTTTGTATTGTAAATCTCTATGGCTTACAGATAAAATCTTTTGCTGTGCTGTTATCATTCTCTATGTTTGTGAATGAAATGTTATTAACTTCTAATAGTATGTTAGGTACTTGGAAGCTCAATGCATATTAGTTTGTTCTGACAGGGTTGTCAAAGTAGTGGCGAACTCACTACCTATTCCTATCCTTGTTGATTTGTTTGCAGATGTCAGGTTATCTGCCCGATTCAGTGGCCTACAATACTCTCATCCACGCATTTGCAAAAGTAGGCATGGTGGATCAGGCAACCTTAGTGTTCAAAGAGGCCCAACGCTCTTTTTGTTTAGATGATCCCGTTATATTCTACACCATGATCCAGGTCTATGCTAAAGCTCGAATGGCCGACCAAGCGCTTCATGTGCTTAAATTGATGAAAGAGATTGGATTGCAACCCAATGAGCTAGGTTACGGGAGCGTCTTGAACGCTTTCATGAGGGCTAATCAACCAATGGGAGCAATTAAGCTTTTTGAAGAGATGCAGGAGTCAAATTGTCGTTTTGGCGAGAGCACCTATATCACAATGCTTAACGTTTACTCAAAAGCAGGGTTTCATTCTGCCGCAGAAGAATTGCTTGCAAAGATGAGGCAGCTTGGGTTTCGTCGGAATGTTGTGGCATACAGCACACTGATTGATATGTACGGCAAAGTAGGGAAGCTACAAGAGGCGACAAGGTTGTTTTCCACCATGAAACAACAAGGCTGCAAGGGGAACTTGATAGTTTACAACACGATGCTGGACATGTATGGGAAGGCAGGTCGTATCAATGATGCTGAACGTCTCATGGCTGAATTGAAAGACTCGAAGCTGGTCCCTGACACAGTCACCTATACTACTTTAATAAACGCTTACAACCGGCTTGGCCGCTTTGAAGAGTGCATACGAGTTTTCGAACAGCATCGAGCTGATGGTTTAAAGCTCGATAGAATCCTAGTTGCCATTATGATCAATGTTTATGGGAAAGCTAGGCAGTACTCTAAGCTAGCTGAGCTTCTAGAGGTAATGCCCAAATCTGGGATCCAACCTGATACCAGGATTCTTAAAACAGTTGTAGAGATTTATGAAGATGGTGGCATGTGTGAGAATGCTGCAGAGCTTTTGCGCAAGATAAACGAGCTTGGCCCCTTAGAAGGTAACACACTGCACAAGCAGCATCGCTGGATCAGACCGCCCCCTGATAGCAGCCAGATGAACGCACCTTCTGATATGTTTGTTTGAGAAAATATTCGATGGGAATGGTACAGTTCATATTACTTGTGTAAGCTTAAAGTACCCCACTGTTTTTTCACGTGTTTCATTCTATTATTGTAGCGACTTGTCACGGATGTTCACAGTTTCACGAAGATTTGCACCTTGAATGCAATTATAGCCAACTGCACCTCATGTGATAACCAAACACACGATACCGTGACATTTCGCTCCAAGCTGGGCCAAAATATGCACAGAATCCAGTAAAAAGCTCTACATTACTAATGTAATGACGAAAGACCTGTAAGGTTTTGTGTAACCTGTATGCAGTTCCTGAATTAAACCCAGTTCACCAGCCCACCAGTGCACATGCACCTACATAATATGCTGTGTTCCTACAGCCTTTGTTGAAAGCAATTTCTGATTTCGTTTTATGAAATTCTTAAGAATTCTGTAATGATCCTGTTTGGAGAAAATCATTCTGTTTTTGGCATCTGTATATTGGGTGGCTCATGGATTTGTATACAAAACGTGGCAAACTTTGTAGACTGGAAATAATTCAATTCAATTCTACTGTTATTGAAAAAATATAAAAATAATTTTGAAGATTTATTTATATATATACAAATATGTATATATATATATATATATATAAATATGTATATATATATATATATATATATATATATATTTCCAGGAGTCTTAATTATTAAGATTGCAATTATTGTGTAATATTTTATTAAATTTTATTTTCTCAAAGAAAATAATTAGCAATTGGCATGCTATTAATTTTTTAAAAGAAAAGATCAATTTTGTTTACACCTCAATATACAAGCTAAATGTCTCTTAATTTAATTGGAGTAATAAACAAAGATATTATAATTTATTCTATTTCACTTGAAAGAAGAGAAAATTAAATCTTTTGTAATAAAAAGACTAACAAAATGAAAACATAATAGTAAATTCATTGAAAAATAAATGTAGTAAAAACTCAATAGATAAATAAAGAATATTGTTATTTCAATTAGAGCAAAAATGGTGAGATTTCATAGATAGTTAATTTAATAATTTTATAACTTGTTTTTTGATTATATATCATTTTTGAGTTGTATTGTAGTGGTGAAGATTATTTTTTTAGAATTTAGTACATCTACAAAGTCATTTAGTTGGTATTATAAGCAATTCAATAAATTCCTATATAGTATCTAAAAACTATAGTTGTTTGATAGTGTTTCCTTCTTAATTTATATAGTTTTTTTGTGGCTAGTGTTCATATGAAATTTGTTAGATCCAGCCTATCTTGATTTTATTTTTGGCATGCCATTGTTAAAAACATTTAACCTAAATGTGTGATTTTTGATTATCTAAGAAGTTTTGTTGTAGAATATTTGTTTAATAAGAATATAAATGAGTCAAATCAAAATGGTTTTTTTTTTTTTTTTTTTTTTTTTAAACCTTGTCCTTAAATTAAATGTTCATCAATTAAATTGTAGTTCATTATAAAAGAAATCTACTATTAAAAAAATAATAAATTTATTTCAAATAAAGTTCCAAGTAATTTTGGAGGTCTACTCTTATTAGCCATATACAATGATATTTCTAAATTCGTGTGTAGTTTTTATTTATACTGCATTGTATTCATCTAAAACACAAAAACTACTAAACATCTAAAATGAGGCCTTAGTGCACCTAAATATAATGTTAGAAAAGCTTTAAAACCATTGTTGAATGTACAAGATTCGAAAAAAATCCACGTGAAAATTTCATGGATAAGCTACAAAAGCACACCCAAAAGTCTTTGTATAAGGAGGCCATGTAGGTCAAAGAGTCAAGGCAATACTGAAAGTTGTTTTTTTTTTCCTTCTGTTTACAATTTTGTTTTTGTTGTTTTACAGTATTTGCTTTTGAATCAGCACGAATAAACTCAACATGAAATAAATCAAAGCTCATTTACAAAGCCACATATCCAAAATTTCTATTTCTTCTTGTCCTCCTAGTGCACCATCTTTTCCAAGTTATTTGGAGAAATTTCCTCACTGTGTCACCGTTTCTCCATAAGAGGAGGATTATCAAGCAGCTGGTTGCGATACTGCACAAGAAAGAGCAAAAACATTAAAAAAAGACATTGTCATCGCAAAGAGTGCATTATTTAAAACCATGAGGGAAAACATGATAAAGCATCATTGAGCGTCGGTAGTCAAAGCAAGACTACTACGTGCTATATTTATAAGAGCTTGCACAAATGTGACCTAATCATATAATGAACTACAATTTAATTGAAGAAGCTCAATTTACATATTGCGCAAATGGTACTGTAGAGTAATTATCTACAGAAACACAGCACATAAGCTCCCTATTTATGTACTACAAAAATTCTGAACCATTTTCGAAGTCTGTTCAGATGCGAAAGTCTACACTAGACATTTCTACTCACAATCCTGCTTGACACGTCCCCTGAGCAGGAGCTGGGCGGAATAGCCATCTGAACAAGTGTGACGGAAGAGAGAAGATCCTGGAGAAGAATGTCTGGTTGGTTGGTTCATGAATCACCTCCACTGTACAAAGGGATTCATAGCTGCGCTTCATGTGTGGTGCAACCACATGCTCCTGGTTATGGGGGGCAGGAAGGGAAAACATATCATCAAAGTCAATACAAGATGTGCACTAGACATATGATACACTAGACTATGAATATAATGGACAAATAGACTTTTGGTATCCTCAAATCTTAAAGGCGACTAATTCGTACTGAATCGTCACACACGACACTAAGTGTTGAGCCTTTTAGATAGCAAAAATGAGAAACTAACGGATACTTAACTACTACCATATAGACGAGAAAATTACTAACTTCAATTTCAGGGTTCGGATAAAAAGTATTACCTTGAAGGTTTCAATTGAACAGAAATATGTACCATTGCATGCCTGCATGGTAAAATCCAATCACGTTACTCTTCTAAAGCAATCAACGCAGTTCGTTTTTGCACAACAAATTTCAAGTTTCAAATAATTTCAAAACGTGATAATTTTATTCTATAACTCAAAAAATGGAATCCTCAACATGTGATGACTAACCGGCATGATCACAGGCTTCTCGTTATGCAAAGCCTGCACCAAGTATTTCACTCCATCCCCATTATCTGCAGGACACTTGTGAAGAATCAAAGCCGTATTTGCTGCAAAGGGCGCCACTAGAGCACCACGCCAGAGATGCTGCTGTGGAGGTCTAAGAGGAGCCTCCAACGGTTTTTCACTTTGGACCTGTTTTATATCTGCAATTCAAGGCGAGAACTTATTATTGGGTTGTTTCATTTGCATGTTGACAGTAGATAACTTTAACAGGAAAAGTGCGATAACTACAACTAATACGCAATTGAGTAACCAAAGCTAGATAGTAACATCATATCAGAGCAACTAGTTACCAGTGTTTTCCAGAAATAAGCCAAGAAGACAACTGAACGGAATGACAGTCTCTGCATGCGCAAACCGCAACTTAGCTTTCTCCACTACCTTCTTGGATTCTGCATAGGCAAAGCAAGCAAGATCCTAGATTAGTCCGATAAATGAGTGTGAAGCACTCTAAGAGTCTAAAGAGTGCAACAAGGCCACGTACCGTTCGCCTAAACGATCAATCTAACCAGACCATCTACAAGTTTTTTACAAATAGGTTATTTCTGTCAATTACAAAAAACTAGAAAGAATTTGCTCTGGAACGTACGATCAGCTGCCATAGCACGATCCATGGTTTTAACCACATCATCCAGTAGTGGAACACCCATACGGTAGTTTAACATATCTCCATAACCTTTTAAGTGATGCATTTCGAGATCATCTGCCCATTCAAGCAACTCTATCTGCACAAAATATCAACACGCAATTCAAATGCATTAGGCAAACAAGGATGATACGCGGATAGCACCAGAGGGGCTTAAGGATAGAGAAACTTATGTGAAAAAATCAAGACAAAACTACCTCCTCCGCTGTGAACATAGCACAAGCCTGATCAACGATATCCAAAAGAGAAGCTTCCTGTTATGAAACATCCAAAAAAAACATCAGATCAAACATTTCAACGAACAGACGTGTGCCAACTTGAAAATAAACGGATAATCAACCTTTTGGAAATCCATCCTGCAATAAAAAAATATAAATAAAAATAAAATAAATAAAATGATACGAACTGCAAGTTAGGGATGATGCGAATATACATTTTTGCAGAGTAACCAAAGGGAGGACACATCCTCGCTATTGACTGCCAAACTATAGCGGCCCTGCACCGATTTAGCGACAAGTTCGTACACTTGAACTTGCCACCCATCTACTTTAGGCTTCTGCAACTTCTTCGATTCCTACATGCAGCAGGATCACAACACGAATGAAATGTAAGACAGAGTACATTCAATCTCAACAAGTAATTCCTATAAAACAATGAGGTCATTAAATTCTTCGAGCAAGCATAATGTGAATCTGGAAAAATTCAACAGTAACATTCAGAAACATTGTGGCGAAAACGAACCTTGTAAACCATACATGTGTCGTGGAAACGAAGATGGATGTCATTTGCTTTGCTGTCAGTAACGACGGAGAAAGCACGTTGTTTTCCTGAGCCTAAAGTCCCCTGACCGGCGAACATTCCCATTCCAAAAGCCACAGAACTTGCCGAAGACCTACCAACCTGCAATGTCAGGTGCGCAAGGCATCAAAACTCAGTGCACAATTTTGATCACAGCCAGACAGATATTACTAATTTTTTTAAAAACTTAGTTACTTGTTGAAAAAAGTAAAGATTTTCAAAATGTCGGTTTTGTGTTTTACCTGAGTAGCAATTATCGGATAGACATCAGGATGATACGGTTCCGAGAAGATTTCCGGATACCTGAGCTTGTAACGCTGTGCCAAGTCATACAGCTCCTCTTCACCCTTTGGCAACAATTCCCCTCCAATCTGCTTGTCAGACCATGGGGACTTCCATTCCTTGATCCAGAGTGGCGGTAAGGATGTAGTCTCATTTTGATTTTTGGCAGCTTCCGCTGACAAAACACGAAGCCTATCCGCAAACTCTTCCAACTCTTTGATCCTCTTCTTGGTCGGTCTGCGTGATCCATGCCTTGCCTGAACACAACCGCCACACAAACCCTAATTGAGAACAATGTTTCCAGGATTGCAGAAATGAGGGAGAATATTGAAGCTACAGAAGCTGTTTTTTGAACCTTCTAGCATAACATCCATGCCTGCCTCATTGAATCATGCAAGCTCTTTCTAACCAAACCAAATACACGTAAATTGCGAACAGATACTATTAATTATAAATGTTTCGAGCTAAGTTCACTGTCTCAGTCTGTAATCAAAGAAGAATTGGAAAATGTGTGTAACGGACTGCGCCATGCAAGTCCATAACACACTCAAGAATCAGGATACAGAACTAACCACAAGATTCATATGAATAGGCACACAACCCTCCGGAGTGCTCACGACTTCCCCATTTCCATACTCGATGCTTTTCCCAGCTGCGTAACTGCACATGCACATATAAAGTCAACAACCAACAGCACAATTTTCAGAGTAAATGATCTGTCAGCAACCTAAAAAGCTTGAACATCCCAAGCCAACGACGCAATCCCCACAGCAACACGTGCTCAAGCGCAGGTGTAATCGCGGGATGCCAGGAGCTACAAACCCCGTTCACAAGTCCTAAAATCTGGTCAGTAAACAGGAGAAAGGATCAACTACAATCAGATTCACGAAAATCACTCATTCAAAAGATAGATAGATTTACATAGCTTGCAAAAGAGCAACAAAAACCAGCGGTATCAAACCCCCAGTCAATTCAACTCCAACTATCTCTAATCCCTCCCATTCAATCACTGCACATAACCAACACAAATCTCATCTCAACAACAATAACAATCTAAGAAATCTCATTTCACTGCTGCCACACCGACCATACGAAAGCAACGAACGTTTGAACCTGGTAGAACTGGAAATATGCTGCCGAACATCGAACTTCGCAGGGGCCGCTGTCACACTCCACGAATTCCCCAACAGAACCAATAAACCCAACAAACCCAGAAACACACTCAAGCCAAATGTCCGCCTCGCCATTCTCCTAGCCTACTCTCCTCACCGTTGGCTCCACCCAACTTCTCCCGAAATCACAAACACGTTCCTCTCACCCTCACTCCTTAATCTCACATAAACCTCACTCTCTCTTTCTCTCGCTCTCCCTCTTTGACCTCGTAACGGGCCAGATCACAAGACCCCACCCGAGACTATTGTGCGACACGTCATGGTAGATGAGTAAATCCCAGGATACCTGAATATTCTACAAATCACAGAACGACTTGTTCCTGGGCGATGGATCTCTTCCGAATGCTCCTCGTTAGCCAATTGGAACTGCCAAGTTTTGGAGCTCTGAGCGATGCACGGTCAGTGGGTCAACCTGGCAGCTTCATGGTGGATCGATCCACCTTGCGAGAGGAAGAATTCCTCGGGATGGGCGACGCAATTGCACGCGTCGGCGTGGAAATCTCGGCCGTGCCAAGAGCTGCGCGTTGCGTCCCCGCGAGTTGGTGCCCTGCTTGTCTCGTGGACGGCGACGGACCTTAGTTGCTCATTCGTCGTGGTTTGAGTGACGGACGACGGCGGTTGGCCCTGGCGACGATCGTTGGACGGTGTAGACACGTCTGTGGGAAATGGATGTATGTGGTCTAGGGAAGGACGGTTCTGACGAGTGACTGACGAATGTTTTTAACAGTCGTCACTTTCCTTACAACCTACCATTGATATCTCTTTTTACCAATAAATTAAGGGAAATGTTAAATAGACCCAAGTTTTCACTCATACTAATCATCATGAATGAAGAAAATAAAATAAAATTCAAGATTCATTTCCCCACAATTAGACCTACAACCAATGAAAACCAACCACATTTATCATAATTACCATACTCTTCATCAAGGGTGGGTTGAGTTAGTAAAAGTATGGGTCTATTTACCATTCCCCTAAATTTAATTTCTTCATTCATTTTTATTTTATTTTTATTTGTACATGTGTGGATAGATTTTTGTATAATACTAAATTGGAAATATGTTTAAAACTTGTGTGTGTAGTTTTATTCTTTCAAAGGACTATATTTTTATCATTTTGTGTATTGTGAGTTTTTGATACTGTAAATGATTTTTTTATTTTATTTTCAGTTACATATTTATGATGGTATGGCATTTTTTTCCATGTTAACATTCATTTCTTTTCATGTCCAAAATTTCATCCGTGTGTTTCCAAAGAAGAATATTATAATCTGTATTATTTGGTTAAAATCAAATTTTAAGGATAATTTTTTTCAAATTTATTTTTTATTAGGATTTTAAATAATTTTTGATTAAAAAAACACTAATGATGATAATAAGCATTGTTATCTTGTGTATTACGATTTTCTTGTTACAAAGCCTCTTGTTCTTTACAATGGCCCAATTAATTTCGAAGGCCTTTGTATCCTTTCTCTTGATTTGGTTTTCTAATTCATACAATTTTTATTAATTTTAGGCCTATTCTTCAAATACTATGATGCATACAAAGTTAAATACTTGAATGGAAAAAATAAATGTTAAAACTAAATTACCAATTTATCAAACATATAAGATTGTTGTAGTGTGTATATATATATATATATATATATCTAACATGAATGATTTTCCCTCATTCATATTAATCTAACACAAATGATGAAGAAATTCATTCTATAAAATATACATTCTGAACAAAAGCATGGTAGAAAAATTAGAATCTCAACTTGTAAGAGGCAGTTCTTTTCTAAATTTTTATCCAATATGAATCAGATCTTAATATACAATAATAGTTTATTTGCAAATAATTTCTGTAATCCGATTTTTTCTATTGTTTCACAGTAATATTTTCTGCATTACAATTATTTTCTAAGTTATTCTTTATACTTACGAAAAAGGATTGTGAACGCTTTTAAACAAATCTGATATTTTAGATATTAAATAAGAAATACACTTACAGCAATTGAAGAAAAAAATAATAATTTTATTGTTTAAAATAAAAGGAAGATTTATTTAATCAAAAAATAAAGTTTGACTTTTAAGTAACGAAATTGTTATGAAATATTATAAATTTTGCTTTAATTAATGGATGTAATATAGTGAATTTACTTGTCATGAATTTAAAGTTGCTCCCATAGGAATTCTAAATGAGGTAGAGGCACATCACAAGCCTCCCCCCCTCCACTCCACAAATTTCAAAATAAGTTAAACTCATCATCTTTTATTTCTTATGCTCAAGGTTAAATTTATGATTAATGTGTAACATATTTTAAAATTTTCATTAAAAATTTCTATATATACATACATATCAAAAATCTCTCACTTCTTCATTTTAATTCTTGAATTCTTTCTCATGCTCTAAACTTATACCTTATCTCTATAACTCCTTTGTGCTCCACATCTACTTCTAATTGCCTGAAGATGCTTTCAATAGCAGCACCAAATTTTAGTCAAAAAGACAAGCCTCTTCAAAGGAATACAAGGTCCTTAATTATAAGTAGATTAGAAGAAGGCACAATATTTTTCCAAATAAAATCAAATATAAAAGACAATCCAAAGGCTGTGTACAATATATAGATTAATTTCTTTCTTACACTAGGATGCATTCATCCTAACTCTAATTTCTAATTCAAATCTCTATTCACTAAAATATCTATAATTCACTTATTATCAAATCAATCTACGCAAAGTTTAGCTCATTGATAATATCAATAAAATAAAAGAATGAAATCCAATAAATAGCATAAAAAACTCCAAATTAGTTTTGAAATTTGCTATCCAAAAACTCCAGCAACCCTTCCTTCAAATTTGCTTACATCTCCTTCTTTACAGCTCTATTTGTTGCAAGCTATAGCTTATTCGAAAGCTCATAATTAGATCTAACTTTTTTCCAAATATCAAAACAAAAAGACAAAAATACAAGAAATTGTGTAGAAAAATCCAAACTAGTATTGAATCTCCCTTGCCAAAAACTCTAACAACTCCTTTTTTACAAATTTTCTTGGATCTCCCTCCTCATACCTCCATTTCTTATGTACTATAGCTTGTTGCAAAGCTCACAATCTGTCACGGACATACGCATGTAAGCCAATAATTACATGTATAAATAAGTAGAAATAAGTAAAAATATATAAAAGTAAGTTAATTCTATAATATTTGCTATAGTAGCTTCCTAGAAGCATCATAGATGCTGGTTTGACTTTATAGGTGTCTTTAATTGATTTTTTGGATTAGAAACGTGGTCAACAAGTTGGCCATGTACCACATATGTTGCTAGTTTGAAGACCAAGCTAACTATGTGGCCTATACGTAGAAAAACTTGCCTTGTAAGTCAAGGCATGTGTCCTACAAAGTCAACACATATTGGAGGTCCTATAAAACATTGCCACATAGCCTTTAGTCAGATAGTATATATAGAGACAAGAAAGAAGCCTTCTTCACTCTTATCAACTCCTTTGTTGCTTCTAGTCTAGTTTCAAGGGTCTTTAGTTTTCTTGGCTTATGGCAATAGTCATTCCAGTTTCTTTTTTAATATACATATCAAGTTATTTCTATTTTGTCATCTTTCTTTGAGAGAAGTCTCGCTTGTTTTTTGTTTTTATCATATTCTTTTTCCTGATAGATTGACAAGAATATACTTATAATATCAGAGCTTTGTCTAATCTTGATTAAGAATGGATTACTCATTTCTCTTGATAAGATATAAGCATATTAGAATTATGGATTACCCTCTTTTAAACAAATATTGTCCTTAGTATTTTCTTTGTTTTCAAGTCCTCTCTTCTATTTGTCTTGAGAAATATTAGATATCTTCTTTTTTCTAAGTGTTATCATGGCAGAACTTGCTGAAATGAAGTGAAGATATAGAAATGATTGGAACTGCTTCAATATCTGTACCAAATTATGTTCCTTCTCCTATTATGGAATGCTCTTCTAGTATTAAAGAACCAAGAATTACCCTATTCTAAAAGTTTGATGGTACCAGATCAAAGTTTATAGGATTTATCAATGAAGTACAACTTGTGATTGAACTTCAATCCTAAAGCTATCCAACTCCAGGATCGCAAGTTAGATTTGTTGGTACGCTTCCTTCAAGTTCAGCATTATTATAGTTTTCATCTTTTTTTGAATGACAAGATCTAATATTGGATAATCTAGAAGCTTTTTTGGCGGAGTTTCAATCCATGTATGGAGACCATGATGCAATTCTTGTTGCAACCAATAAGATCCGTATTTTGCAACAAGACAATCGATCAATAATGTTAAATGCTTCACAATTTCGACAACTTGTAACTGATATCAAGTGGAATGATGCTGCACTTATTAGCCAATTTTTCTACGGATTATAATATAAGGTAAAAAAATTAATGCTCAACTTACATGATCTTCAAACATTGAGTCAAACAATTGACTTTGTTGTGAAATGCGACAATTATCTTTTTGAATTCTGATCTGAGAATCGTACAAGTGGACCTCAACGTTACTATAATTCAATGGCAATACCAACATCTCTTCAACACATACATTCGGAAGTAGAAGATATGTAAATTGATGCAGTATGTTTCAAACCTCTTATTGAGTAAGAAAAGACTTATCGTTGTCAAGAAGGATTGTGCTTATATTGTGGAGAACCTAAGTACACTGCTCAACATTGCCCAAAGAAGCAACACAACCATAAAATGAGGAGTACAATGATCAAAGAAGATAGCATGTTGAAAAACAAATTTATCCAGCTACAATAGGGACCATGCGGCTCGAACCTTATACAACACCTAGCGAAGGTCCTATCCTCTCTTCACAACCCTGTCCATGTTTTATAATAAATATTATTTTAGGACCTAAACATCACAAAGCCTCTGCCGTGTTAGATTTAGGAGCCTTAGCATGTTTCTTAGATGAAGAATTTGCTAAAAGATATATCATATTTTTAATGAAGAAAATTAAATCAATTCATGTAGAAGTCATAGATGGTCGTCCGTTGTCTTCAGGAGATGTTACTCATGAAACCCTTCCTATAGAAATAACAACTAATGGTCATAGTAGCTTTGTAATATTTAATATCATTAGATCTCCTTCTAATCCAGTTATTTTAGGTTTATCATGGCTAGAAAAATATAATCCTAAAATAGATTGTACTTCTCATAGTCTTGACTTTTTTGAAAGTATAACTAAGAGCATAGTTAATCAAGTAGAAAGTCATAAGTCTAATATAATTAAACTTATATTTATTGGTACAAGAGCTTTCTTGCATGCTGCAAAGGAAGGATCACCTTGTATCATTTATGCCACACTTGTTTTTACTAGTAGAAAGATTCAAGTGGCATTCCAAGCCAATATCAAGATTTTCAAGATA